GCCAGCTGGAGAGAGAAAAACAGACCTTAGTTTGTCTATTTGGTTACTGCAGGTTCTGGGGTTCTCAATGGTTTATAATATCCATGTAATGATAATACTTAAAATTTAGGAAAAAATTACATGAATGTGCTGTGTAGCCTCTTATCAGCTTCAGGCTTTTGACTTTCCGTAGCGGTTTATTTTTGAGCTTTTTTGTTTGCTTTTTCATCAGAGTTCAAAAGATTTTTGCCTTTGATACTTCTTCCCAATGCAATATCCTTTTGGGAACTTCATCCCATTAACTTAAAGGGACTTGGTTCAAAGATTACTTCAAGTAATTTACTTTGATCCTTGATGTTAACAGAAATGTGAAGAATGATTACAAATTTTGTCTTCCTTAGTTCTCACATGCTAATTAGAAATCTGTAACTTTGTGTTTTCCTGAAGCTCCCTCCAAAGCTGAACCTACCCTGAATCACAGAATCCTTAAGGTTGGAAGGGACCTCTAGGGATCATCTAGTCCAACCCCTGCACACGCAGGGTCACCCAGAGCACATGGCACAGGACTGTGTCTAGGCGGCCCTTGGAGATGTCCAAGACGGAGACTCCACAGCCTCTCTGGGCAGCCTGTTCCCGTGCTCCGTCCCCCTCACTGCTAATATGTTTTTCCTTAAGTTACTTGCTTGTGCTTTAGTGTCTTTGCACTTAATATTATCAGTGGAAAAAGAACTAACTTATCAATAGATGGTATTGTATAATTTTAGGTTGTTAAAGTAATAAATCATCAGGTTGAGAATCCTATTTCGCTCTGTGGTAAAAAGGTAAGATAACCAGATACTGGTAGTTAATTAAGTCATGTGTAGTTCTAATCTCTTCCAATTTCATAATTCTTCTAAGAATTATGTATAGTACAGTGTGTGATTTGTTTGCTTTTCACTGTTACCTACTTGTTTATTTAACTACTTGCTCTGCTGAAATAAGATGTTTGCAGAGTTTTCTATACTGCTGGTACAAGGCAGTTGATAGCTTCTAAGAGGTGCTGGCAGGATTTTTCCCACATATCAGTTATGGCCTGATAAATAACATAAATGAAAAGGGGATGAGTAGCAGGTGTCAGGTGCTCTGTGAGCACGTTCTCCCCAGGTAAAAGTGCATCATCCTCTCGTCACCAAGCAAGTTCAGTGTGCAAAGACAGTAAGCTCAGATTGCAAACAGCTCCTTCTTGATGTTGTAACTCTTACCCGTTTTCTTTGCTTTCTTGTGCTCATTTTCTCAGACTAGAAACTGTTCATATCTTGTAAGCTTATCATGTTGTAAAGAGAGAACCTGAGTGTACTGGGAAGTAATGGACTCGATCTTAAAGACCATTTAATGAATTACGATTACAGTTACTCAGGATCATTACAGTAGACTCGTCATTTTTATGCACTGTGCAACTAGCCATCCTGCTTTGATATCTCATTGCCCAAGCAGTCGACATTAGGAAAGTGCTGGTTTTCCTCGGAGCTCCAGCTGTGGTTGATGTTAATGCCTTAATGATATTTTTGTGTCGTTTGAACAGCGAGTGGTTGGGGGCACTGCATTCTGTCATTGCATTTCATTACTGCATTTGGAAAGGCTCAGGAATTAATGTGAGCAAAATTTTACTGGACACTTTTCCATTTATAACCCCCGTTTTTAAATAGTACATGACTACATACCGATTTAAGTGTCATGATAAGTCCAAAGTGTTCGTGCTTGTTAAGCACATCTTGTGCTAGCATTAAGAGTTTCTTACTTATCTTGGGTGGCGTTTTCAGGTAACTGACTCCTGTACTGTTGGGGGAAGGGAGGAATTAATTAAAAATGCATGACATTTTTGAGCATTTTTGTAAAGTAGAGGTACTAATAAAGCAGTGTTGAATCCATATGTTTTTTACCACTTAAATAATACAATGAAAGTACTCCTAAATTGTACATTTTACAATTCCTTGTTTTCAGAATTCTGAAGCTAGGAAGACCTAGTAAATACTGAAACAGAAAGTATCTCTTAACTGAGTTTATTTTTAGTGCTTCGTTTTCATTTTTTAGTACTCAAAAAAGTGTGGTTTCTTTTAGTTTTCTTTTTGATCAGTTAAGCACAAAAATGGTAGTACACTTAAACACTAGATAGCTATCTTCTAGATAGCTTTTGAGACGTGATTCTGTTTATTTTTTTAGTAGTAGTATTGCTTACAAGCTAATCTTAACACCTGTTATCAACTTTTTCTTCTGGATTTATATACCAATTTTAGATGTTCTATGACTGTTTTAATGAATAAATTAGTATTTGGTTTTTTTTTAAAGGATATAGTTATGTGTAACACCTGTCTTATACTTTTTCTAATACTAAGTGGTCTGTCCAAAATGTTATTTAGTGTACTTTTTGTACATAGAAAAATACTGGAAGTGTTTTAAAGGAAGTGTTTTAAAATGCAAGATGAAAAATGTGGAGCCTAATATTTATTTTTTATCTGAAAGAAAGTTAGGGGGAAGTCAGCTCTTTGGCTGTAGGCAGAGAAGAAAATGTGTTTCTCCTAACTCTCAGAAGGAAATGGAAAATAGTACTGTCAATCATTAATTTTATTTTTATAATACTTCACATGGTTGGAAATGTGTTTACTTTTGTTAATCTGAAACAATTCAGCATTTTACTTTCTAGAATGGCCAAATGGGAGATTTTAGTAAGCAAAAAAGAAAGGTTGAGCCACAAAAGGAAGACTTCATCCCTGTTTTCCCTCAATTTCCTTGCAAGTGCTAGGCAAACAGAGTATGGATAACGTCCTAGTGATTTTGTTAAATGCTATCTTAAAGTTTAACACAGTGTTCTAATGATATGCAAATAAGGAAGCACGTGTAGCATTTCTGAGCGTGTTCAGTGTTAAAGTTCCCTTGTCAAGGTTCCTCTGAATCTGCTCTAAAAAGAGCTGTGAAAACAGAGTGGATGTAGAAGAAATGTAAGATAAAAATTTCCAATTTACTCTAGCTGGAGGAAGAGTGAAGCTAATATTGAGTGAATTTTTGAAAATGTCATTTCTGTTTCCAAGGATTTATGCACAAAAAGTTTTCCCTGCATATTTTTTTCTGTCTTGAAAATCCTGAGACCTATTCAAAAGGACAGTTAAGAACAGATACGTAAACCATTTTCATACGTAGATCCCGGGTTGCATTTGCACATCAGAAAGATACTAAGCTTAAAAATGAAGTCTATGTCATGTTTTCAAATTTGATGTTGAAAACCATGAAAAACAATGTGGGTACAACTGTGTTTCCCTGATGTTCTTTCAGGTTTACTGCCTCGGTATACATGGAAGCTGTAAATATTAAGATGGCGCTTGATGGAAACGGGCTGTAAGTGTCTATGTTTATATTGTCTGCATGTGAGTTACCTTTTTATAGGTATTTCGGACCTCCCATTTCAGATTTAGTTGGGAGGATGACAGGAGGCAGGACTGGCTTAGCTAGAGGACTCGGTATAAAAAATGAAAACAAAAAAGACACCCTGCACATATTGTTTGAATGGAAAGTGGTTTCTGATGTTTTATGTGCTGTTGTGAGGTGCTGAGTTCTAAAGTGATGAAGTTAAACCCAGGAGCACTAAATGAGTTAAAAGATCTGCTACTCATTAAGTACCTGGGAGAGGACAGTTCCAACTGTCCAACAGTTTCAATAGTTCCAACATTGTTAGAAAAAGTTTTCATGTGGCTGGTTGAAGATTTATTGTTCCTGAGCTAGTAAGACTGTTACACCTGTTTTATTCCCAGATCAGGAAATCAAGATGTGTGTTAAACATGCACTGATTTCACAAGTGACATGTATTTATGACTTAGCTACGTTAGTGTTTTGTTTTGTCTTGTCTCCTATCAAGGTGAAACCTGAGTGCATTCCAGGTAAAACCCTGGATTTTGCAACTGCTGTGAGGTTTTGTAGATTCTTTGACTTTCCCCTGAATTGAGGAAGGTTGCTATAAAAGTACTTACACACAAACAGTTATTAAAAATGGTCACGTGGGGCAAGGTACTCTCTCCACCCTCAGCTCTGTAATACTGTTGTGCTGATTCATGACTGTGCTGGGAGGGGAACTGCCTCAGGAGAGCAGTAAACTTTCTAGTCCCCACCAGTAAGAGTATATAGTGGAATTTAAACTGTATTTTCTGCTCTCTTTTTGTTAACTTTTATCAAAGCAAAGGAGATGCTTCATTATTTCTAATATTATACAGCTGCTGTAGTGTTATAGATACTTTTATAACAATGTTTTTTCTGCTACTATTTACTTTGTGTTGTGGAAACAAAGCAACAATCAAAAAGCTGATTCAACAAATGAAAAGTTAACTCCAAAAAAAGCCCTTTATTTCATACTGATACATACTACTTCAACATTGAGATGCAATATTGTGCAAAATCATTGGTTATAACAGATACACATTGTGTTAATCTGAAGGCTGGCACTGCTGCAGGAAATGCCATGGGGAATTAAAAACAACCTTTCAGGTTTCCGGCAACGCAGTTGAATCTGAAGAGGGAAGGCCCCCTCAGTCTGGAGGGCTGCGTAATCTGCTGCCATCTTGTCCTGCGGTAGAGAACATGCTGACCGTTGCGCTCCCGTAAGTCTGCTTGCTGGACAGTTGTGCATTCAGCCAGCACCAGCTGTCATTAAGGCACTTGGTTTCAGGGAAGATCAAACCGAAACGTTTTTGTCCTGTTACACTATCAAAATTTTCCTCTATCCCTAAAACGGTAAGAAGAGGTTTTGGCAGGTAAGCCCATGTGAGGGTATTCTTGCATCACAGGCTGTCATGATACTTCATCACCAGCAAAGAACAAAGGACAGATTGTTGTGGTGGTGGTGGTGGTGTTTTCCCCTCAAAATTTCATCACACTTTGGTCATACTTTATTTGATAATTTTCTTGGATTTCTTGATATTAGGCCTTAGAATTCAGATATATAAGAGACTTTTGAAGAGAGTACATGCCATTCCATTGCATTTGTGGTGTTGAGAAAACAAAATTGAGCCATAGAATTCTTTCTCCAGAATAATCTTTTCTTGGATGAGATGCATAAGGCACACTTGTTCTTATCCCTGACATTCTTGTTGAGCTCCATTTGTAAGTGGTGATGGTTTCACATCACAATAACTAAAATCCTGTCCATAAACAAGCTCTTTCTGAGAGTTCTCATCTAAGTATGGCTCATGAACTCTGACAGTGCTCCACATGTTGTTTTTCTCCAGAGATTTATGCAAGAGTTCTCTCATTCTCCTGTTTTCTTTGGATGTAGATTCCCAGATGACTTCCAGTTCACCTTCCACTTGCCTAGGAAAAAAAGAAATTCTATTTTTAAAAACATTTTTCAGCAGTATGTAATTACAGTTTATTTCTTAGCAAATTATACAATGTACATATTCAAATACTTGTAAAGTTCTGAATTAAATAGTAATAATTCTTATTATATTTTTAAAATTCCAGTAAGTACCAAGTCAGAGAGGATACGAGGAGAAAATGGATGCATCTAGTAAGTTGGATTACATCTGCACCAAAAAAAACACTGCACACGAGATCTAAATATTGTGAATGCCACAGCCCCCTGAATCTGGATCTGTCATGACTGCAGCTCTGCTTCCTGTCCCAGGTAGGTCTCTAATGCACATCCCCCCTTTTGGGAGTTTGGCCTCCATCCACTGAGAGGCTAAACAAGTTTGGTCCCACTGAATGTGGGTGTTGGCTGTGCGCAGCTAAAGCCTCTTTGGAGAGGGCTGAGGCCAAACTGAGAGGGGTTGTGTCAGGCTGGGAGGAAGATGAAGGACCCTTCTGACTGCCTTCTAACTTATTTCATGGGCTGATTTTCCTGACTGCGTAAACATAAGTGAATTCGTTGCTTGAATTTCTCTTAAGAAACAGGTTATTTTTCCAATGTAGCAGTTAACATCACTTAATGATGCAGTGTACTCCAGCTGCACACTTTTTAGTACATTATTTTTCACCAAGGTCAAACTCTCGTGTTTCTTTTAACTCATTTCTAGTATATACCAGGCTACTCAGAAATCTAAGATCATTTGATATGGAAAGTAAAGCCACTAAGCATGTAGAGAAATCTGTAGTCACATGATTTTGTGTAACACAGTAATTTCAGGGCATGACCTGAAGCACTTGCTAGAGCTGGTCCTTTATACAGATTCTCTGAAATACCACTTTCTAAAAATGGGGAGACCATTCAGTGCAAAACATAACAGTATTTAATTGCCAAACATTTATACTACACTTGTTGCAAAAGGTGGGAACTAGGAAATGTATCATCAGCACTTTTTGGTTGGTTGTGATCAATAACACTTCCTACTGAGAAAGAAGTGGTGAAAAGTATCCCTGACCTAGAAAACAAACAACAAGCTTAACGTTGTGATTGGATGTGCAGATGGAAGACAGGAAGTTGGTCATTTGTCTTCCTTAGAACATACAAGAATTATTTTAGGGCTGTTTGGAATGAACTTTTGGTGGAGGGAGGAGATCATTACATGGAATTACAGCCAGCAAAGACAGGTGAAAGCAGTACAGGTCTCAGAAGGACCTGCCAAGAACATGAAGCCACATTAATGAGTTTGTCCCTTTTTCATTCTGCTAAATTAAAAAAAAAAAAAAAAGTGAAGATTCCTTGCATTTTTGAAACACCAAAACTGCAGATGAAAAGACTTTGTTCCCATAAAGTATAATATGTCTCACTGAGGCAGTGATAAGAATGACTGGAACTACCTGTTACTTAGTGTATGCTTCAAAATGCTTTACAAAGACCATTAGCGTTATCCTAGCTTACATCTTGGGAGACTAAAATGACATTATTGAATTCTCCTAAGAAGCGATCCTGAGATTCACCTACAAGGCCACTCTGCCTTGTGTCTTGTGATCTTGGAGCATTTACATTTTTTTTTTTTAATTAACTTTCTTTTCTTGATAAACTCCTGTTCTTTACTGCCACTTCTTTCCAACTGGAGTCTGCATGCATACTCATGCATCCATATTCAAGTGTTACCCCTAATCAAGCAATTTTTTTTTTTTTAAAAAAGAGTTTTATGTCTCATGGAGTGATAAGCATGACCTGAATGAAGTGTTTTTTTCAGGATCAGGAAGTTAACAGGAGGAGAAAGTCTGAACCAGATTCTTCACAAAAGTCTCATCTATTTCATCTATTTGTTAAAATAAGCTTGTTATCAGGAAGAAAAACAATTTCCATTACTGTTGCATATATAGAGATTCTTCTACTGCTGTGTCTCTTCTAAGGTCAATATAAGGCAATTTTATTACTAAGGCTTTCAAAATGATATATAGCGTGCAAAGTACAGCAGCTGTAACTAGACTTAAATGATAAAACAGTTTGTGACCTAGAAAACAAACCAAGTGTTCTGTGACATAAATAAGACATGATGGCACTTACGAATCTGATTTTCTACCCTGGAATCATATTAACTTTGTTTATATCTGAAACATGCAATGTGTTTCATTTAAGGAAGGTATGTGAAAGTGCTGATTCATTAGATTATTCTGTAAGCAATAAAAATATTATGATTATCACCTCTCTGAGAACAGAAAATTATATCATTTTCTCACAAGCCCATCTGGAGGAAAGGTTGCTGTGGATTTCCAGTGTTCTTAAAAGGCATCTGTACTTAAGAGGTCTCAAAATGGCAACTCAAGGAAGGTGGAATTGAACAAAACTTTAGTATTACTGACTCTCCCAAAACTACAGGGTTGATTTTTTTTTCTACTGCCTTGCATTTTGCGCTGTTACAAGAAGAAACAGTTACTCATGTTTCACAGATTTAACAAATGCACAGTGGAAAGAAGTGCAGTGGTGTCCTCCTGGGGGTCACCTAGTAAATGCTTCAGGTGAGGGACCAACTGAAGAAACAAGCTAGGAAACATAAGAGGGATGTCAGGAGTCCAGCAAGCCTGGTAATATGCTAGGACCTCCCACTGCTGCTGAATTCCTCCATGATGTGATGGGAGACCCTGGGAAAAACGATGGGCATTAAGCTGGAATTTGGGGGGGGGGCAGATAGGAAGACCACCCTAAAAACTACCAAAAAAAAAAAAAAAAAAACCCTGAGGACACTTTTACAGAACTGTTTCCTACCAACAAACGTACATACACAATAAAGAACAAGATACAAAGAATCTCAGGGTCATAGCTAAGTCTGAACTGGTATGATTTTTTTTAACTCTGCTATTATAAAACTTAAAAGCAAAGGCCAAATACATGAAAAAGGTTTGCCCTCTTGACCTAAATACTAGGCTTTTGACTAGATTGATTATGGTCGATGCCTTTAAAATAGATTAACTTGTTTTATAGTCTTTTTGAAGTGAAATTATAACACTGATTTAAAAAAAAAAAAAAAAGGAAACCATCCAAACAGTCAATATATACATTTAATGAAATATGCATATGATACTAAGTCCTGTTAAAGTCATTTTCTCACAAATGGCAGAGATTACTGGCAAAATGAGTGTTTAATTTAGCTCTTTTCAGGTTTAGTGGAAAGAGGTAATTATTTTTATGTATGCTGGTAAGTGCAATATGCTATGAAGTCTTTTATCACAAGTGGGAAAATTAAAGGATGTTTTATATTAAAAGATGTTATCAAATGACAGTGATCTTGTTTAAAAAAAAAAAAAAAAGTTATCTCTCCTATTCAGCCTGTAGCCATCTATGTCACTCCTTAAAAGAACAGTAAAGTAACCTCACAAGGAAACCCATCATATGTGTATTTATTAGATTCCTTTAAATTCCTACTAGTCTGAAAGCTGTGGGGAAAGGGGATTCTTCAGCCTTTAGCAAGAGATGCTATTAAATAATTAATGTATTGTGATGACTTATAGATCCCGAGATGATCAGAGACAAGGCTCAGGTTGGTATTTGTGAATTGATTCTTTCCTGAACTTTAGAAACTGTACAGATTCTACTGCAGTAGTTACCCAGAACAAATTCTTCCTTTGAAAGATGTTTTTCTGAAGGTGGGAAGGATGGAATTAAGAAGAGTATTTACCATGTAGCTAAATATGGGAGAGCAGAGAGAAGTGGCATATACCAAAGGGGGCTGTGGTGGAAAGTGAGAGCCTGCAGCCGCTGTGCGCAGTTGCTTCCCGCCACCCCTTTCACCATCCAGTCTAATGGGATTCCTTCTCCTGTGCCCGATTCACCTTTTCTGCTGCAGCACTTCATCAAGGGTTTCCTGTTTGTCCTGCAGCAGCTGCTGAAGGTGTTTCATTTCTTGCTGGTACTGAGCAGTCTTCCCAGCAAAATCTCTCTTCTGCTCAGTCATCTTAAGACTGATGTCTCCCAGCTTTTCAGATGCTTTCTTTTTATATACCTTTAGAAGTTAAGGATCATAGAAAAAGTATGGTTATGGCAAAAATAAGACAATTCCAGGAAAAAAAAAAATAGCTAAAGATGTTGGTTTGCTGCTCCATCTATACATCAGTGATTCCTTGCTTGTGGCAGTTAGGTTGTATTCAATACAGTCTTTTCTTAATATTTTCAAGTTAAGTTAGGTTATGCTTGTACTTTGTTCTATATAGACAAGGTGTATGGTGAATGCCATACAGTATGTTTGTCTTGTGACTGAAAAGAATTGGCGGCAAAATATTTTTCTTATTTTCCATGATGTAGAGCTATACTGTACAGCATATATTACATACCACTTGTCCAACAGTCAAATTTAACAACATACCATGCAAAAGTAATTACCATTTCTTAATTCTGTAGTTGTATTACTAAAAAAAAAAAATAGTTTCACATTTTAAAGTATTTTGCTCCTGCATGTAGTTCCTTCAGTGACATGCTGAAATGACTTCTGCTCATTGACATAATAACCAAATGCATTGGTTTCCTCTTAAAAATGGATAAAAATTCTTTGTACAAAGTATCTTTGCTCTCTGAACTAACTCTTCAATTAAATTATGTAAGAATACAAGTAACTGAAAAATAGGGCTTGTCAGCATTTTACACATTTCTACCTGCTTGTTTTTATAAGAGCAGACAATATGCAGTCTTGGTTTTTTTTCCCACTCATTATTACAAAAAAAGTTTAACCTCTTCTCATATCTGTGCGGTGTGATGTTCGACGTAGGCTACAGATAGATTATTTTGAAGCATTAGAATTGGAAAGAAATAGAAGCCAATAAATTAGCTTTTAGGCTCCCAGAGAAGTCTCAAAACCCACTGCTAGATACTTATACACTTATAATGCTATGCACAAAGATGAACATGTTCCTCCAGAGCAGAAAGGCATCCAGAGCTAGCTGTAATTATTTACAAGAACTAGAGGACTTTCTCTTTTTTTCACCATACAAAATGCTGCAGGAAAAAAAATTAAAAAACACACATGGTTTTTGTTAAAATCCACCAAGACCCTACACAAGAAATACCTTCATGCCATTAGTGCAAAAAATTATATTTACAAAATGTAAGACTGAGATCTGTATGCATATTGTGTACTAGTCTGCCCTCTGAGAGCTTTTTTTTTTTTTTTTTTGCTGTTTCATTCACATTATAGCCCTGTTCTAAATTCCACTAGTAACAGGGGAAAATCAATAAAAGGATTTAGTTTGTATGACTGAGTAGCACCGTATGAATTAAAATATTCTTAAAAGCGTTTGCAGGTGTATGTGTGTATATATATGAGATACAAACTAAATGTTAACTGTTTAAATGTTAATTGTAAATGGATGTCACTGAAACTAGAATAGCTGAGGCTAAATACTGTCCTGCTTTCTCACTGCAGTTATTACTGTGTTCCTTGCAGATAACAGAGGGGCTGCTTCCGATAGATGATTCTATATACTGAGACAACTCGGGAAAGAGGCTGAACTAATTTTGCTCTACTGCTGACTTTTTTTTTTTAAACAGATAGAAACACACAGATTACTGATTTTTCTAATTCAAGAGTAAGTGGTGTTTTATGTAATACTTAGCTTAGAAATACTGCTTACCTTGACTTTTTCTTCTAATCTTCCTAAGCGCAGACTGCCTTCAACTATTTTGTTGAGAACACCATGATTCTCACTTTCCAAACACTTGGCCTGCAAACATGCAGTATACATAGCTGAACCTAATCATTACTTTAGGGGGACAAAATATAAACACCAAAGAAGATTTAAATAATAATAAAAAAAAAGACTCTGGGTCTCCAGTAGTCTTTAGAACCAAGATGGAGAAAGAATCCTGAAAATGATTCTCATAAAGGCTAATAACTAGTTTATCAATAGTTGGTGAATGCTAGTGGGCCAAAACAACAACATTACATGAAGGAAATTCAAGTATGAGTGAATTATCTTTTCTGCATCTTGGGACAAGAGACAGATAAGTAACGATACAGATGTAAGACAGCTGCACAGGAGAAATTTTGAGTATCCGGGAAACGGAATTGTTCTGCACAGGCGAAGCCTACAGACTTCAAAATTGTCAGCTTCTGCTCAGTCTTGAGAAAGATGGGGAATTGTAATGGCTATACAGTTGGGATGGATTAACCTCAAGTAAAATATTTTACTTTATAATTTTTTTTGTCCTCTACTGATGAGAGATTATTTTGTTTGGAGTTTGCTTGGTTATTTCATTTGGGTATCTACAAGTGGGTGGACCAATCCTATCCTAAATAATACATAAGATCAAACATGCAATTTGGTACCATCTAACCTGGCAAAGTTCTGCTAGGTAATTCCGGTGCATGGAGACGGATTACATTTCAGAAGACAAGCAGCCAGAATAGGAGACGATTACAATACGATTGGAAGGGAACTTGATGAGTGGTTTGGGAATGGAAATGCAGCCACATTAAGTAATTAAAGGTAATTACCAAATATATAAGATGGTCACGTTCCTGAGCTGTCCTTTCCACCAAACCAATAAGGTTTTCTAGATAGTGATGGGCTGCAACTTCTTTTTCTATAGCTTCTTCTAACTCTTGTTTCAAAAAACCTACCTTCTTCCTTAATTGCCTAAAAAACAATATAAAAAGAAAGATCTTCGGAATTAATAGTTGTATTATGTGTACAAATCAACTTGCACAACTCTCAGAAATGTAAATAATATTGCTGTCAAATCAAATATAATGTCAAAGATTTACTGCTTTCAGTATTTGCAATCCTGAAAGTATCACTGCCCATCAGTGGGCTTTTTTGATATTTTTTTTGTTGCACGCAGTGTGAATAACAATAATTCATAAGAACAATTTGTGTAATAGTTAAAAGCTCCTGTTTCTTAAATACTGTAACAATAACAGTGGTTTTAGTTTTTAAAATGCTTTGGGTCTACCTCTGAACCACATGGGTGCATGAGAAGGTCTGCAGGTACTGGAAAGCCATTTTTCAGGTCAGTATGCAAATTAATAATTACAATACTTAATTATCATTACAGATACAGTCTTACTTTGCCTCTGAAAGTGGAGAAGAGTATGAAAATACATCAAACTAAAGTTACTTAACGAGCACTGTTAGAGAGGTGTCTAAGGAGTAAGGAGGTGGTTAAGGAGATATGTTTACTTTTTGGAGAGTAACTGCATTTCTTTAGAAATTGCACACTTGGGATGTGAAACAATAGTTTTACACATACTTTTGCTCTATTATTATTAGAAATGTAAGTACTGAGACACTGAGATATTATTAAGAAGTAGAAAAGAAAAACCTGCTTGTCTTTTGTTTCATTTCCAGTTCACTTTCTAGGATCTTGTTGTCAGCCATGAAGTTATTTTTCTCTAAAAGCAGTTTCTTGTTTTGAGCTTGTAATGATGTTATCTTTTCCATTAGATCTTTCATCTCACAATGCTTTTTCTCCTGTTCCTGTTTTAAATGACTGCAAAGAAGTACAATGTTAAATATATACTTCACTAAAAGGACAAGCTTGGCAAGATATTCATGTGAAGATTAAACAAAAAAAAAGTTGGGAGGTTGGTAATTCTCAGTGGTGTCATAAAGAGGTACTGTAATAGGATTACACAAAAAATGGCGAAGCATAATATAAACAGTTATTCAGATAATTCTTTTTTCATCTTTTTTTAAAGATATTCCATGCAGTCCAAATGTACTCCTTTTCTCCCCAAAGAAATTATTAGCAACACCCAAAAGAAGTCTGAGAATTTTTCAGGAAGATATTGCACCAAGAAACAAGCAATTCTGCTATTCTAGACTTGAAAACAAATTTACTGAATATTCTAAAACCTTTACTTTACAGAATATGCTGCATGATAGCATTTAGTAGCTTTTATCCATGTTACGAAGAATAAAGAAACTCCTCTTTTTAAATAAAAATTGGAGGATCATTCAGACCTTCTCCTAAAGGTGGGAGCAAAAGAATGAGACCTTTTCAGGTGCATCAAAAGTGTGCATCAGTGTTCCTGGAGTAATTAGTTTGATAAAAAGAATGTTTTAGTGCCTACTCCTTTAGGTATTCAAGAACTACATATAGTATGTAGTCTACGGTAGAAACAATTCTACAGATCTCTCTAGAGGTGGGATTTGTTTCTATAACTGTTTATAAAAGCAAGATAACTTTTTTGAAATATTTCTTTATTGTTCTTTGTACTTTGCTACTTGGAAAAAATTGTGGTCACTTTCTACAAAACACTGTGTAAGCATGTAAGGATCTGAATGATCTGCAGAATTATGCCTCTGTAGAGCATATGCAGACACATACCTTTTTAAATCATTCACCAAAGCAAAGTGCTCCTCTGCTGCTACTCTACTATCCAGCTTGGCTTTCAGCTCTTCACAAGTGGTGCGCAAAGCTTCCAACTGCTTCTGGTACTCTGCTATTTCTTCATCTTGACTCCGTTTCTTATCTTCTAGGATTATCATCTGTTTAGTCAATTTTGAGACTTTTGGGGGGGCAGGAGAGAAGGAGGAAAATAAAAGAACAACATGACTAATTCAATTACCTAGTATAATTCCATCTTACCAGTAAGAACTTGTTTCATAGCTGTTCATAGTGTTACAAATGATTTGTCAGTTTTAAGTTTTATGCTTTTGCACAGTTTAGATCTTGCCACCAAGCACTTAGCTCAAGAGATAAAAAGAAGCAACCAGTTAAAAAAAAAAATAATAACTAGGGAAATAAATATTTGTCAAGAAATAATCTTCTCTAGGGTTCTGAATTCAAGCTTTAGTCAGTAAATACAAACCTCTGATGAAACAACAACAGATTATATATTTGACAGATACATGTAGTTTTAAGCAGTATCAGATTATAAGGAATAAAGTTAAATGCTGTCATCGATGTAAAATGATCTGTAAGCAATAAACAGTGACTGTAAGGTAGTAAATAAAGCCCTGCAAATTCTAAATTGAACACTTAAACACATACTACTTGACAAATAACAACTTCAAAGTATTCTTATATTATAAAAATGCTTTTATGTTTATTATTAGCAATTCTGGTTACTTTTTCCCGAAGAAACAAGTTAAAACAGAGTAGGCTATATAGTGTCAGTAAGTGATACTGATAATTGTTAGTGTCAGTTGATATCCAGAGCCCGATTTCATAATAGTGTTAGCTGTATTCAGTAGTGTTTTATGAGCACATATTCAGATGCAAGAACCCTGCACTACCATCTATGGCCTACTTGAGTAACTAGCAACTCAGGCACCTCACCTTCCTGAATATGTTGTTTGTGACTAGCTTTTGCTTTCGCTTGTTGAATTTCAAGTTGCTCCATCAACAATTTGTTTTCTTCCAGCACTAACTTGGCCTGCGATTGCAGCTGGTGCCTGCAATTATGATTAGTTTATAAGTAAAATACCACTCAAATATGAAGTTTGTTCCAAGAAGAAAAACAATCTCCAATGGTCTAAACTTATAAAACACCTGAAGCTCTCCTTCAAAAAAAGGGAAACAAAAACCGAAAGACTTGACAGAAAACAATGTATGAAACCACGGTAAGATTATTATAGACACAAAATCACAACCCTCACTGTAAATATCTATTTGAAATAATTTTTTAATTATTTGACTAAAGCAGGAACACCATAAAAAAAGAGGGAAAGCTATCTAACTCAATTGAGCCAGGTGACCTAGAGATAGCTCTGTAACTAGGCACCCAAACTATTACAATTTTCAAAACATTTAGTGGATTTTTGCATCTGTTTAGTTAGAGTTTACATCTGTTCAGCTTCTATATCCAGAAGAATACTGCCAGAGTGATTTATGGTTCAGGAAAGGGACATTTAAACAGAACTCTTGAGCAAAGAACTTACTGCTTTATAATGAACGTTAACTCTGCTTTCAAAGAAACCAATACCAGTCTTTTTAATAATAATGAAAGATTAAGAAATTATTTTTTTCTTCTGATGATAGCTAGAAAAGTTGAGAGATACTACCCAAAGGGAAGTATAAATGCAGTTTCCTTGAAAACTTCTGCAGGTAGGAACTGGTAAGTTTAACCTATTTCATTTATTGTGAGGTTTCCTGCAGTAGGCATAGAAGAGGGAACAAATGTCCATCAGTCGACCACTAACTTAAATTTTTATTGTTTTTTTTTTTATGTTGTATAACCACCTGAGACTACATCTCCTCATCTTGAAGTATATAAACATTAAGTGAAATTGAGTTGCAATATCCATTCATTATTCATGACGGGAAGGTCAGGGCTGATATGTTTCACATTACAAACTGAAAAAAATCATGTTGTTTTTTTTCTCAAGCAAAAATATCTAGCATGAAGTTAAGGTTGAAGATTGGATCATGAATTTTACTGGACAAGTCTCTGAAGTATAACACTTTTGATTAAAAGCAAACAAAGTGCTTTTTCTACATGAAATTGCAGTTTTCAAATGGATATAAAACAGATCATATTTCATCAGTAGGGTTAAGCATAGGGAGTGCCTCCCATCCTATGTTCTAGTGTACCACAGACCTATACTGATGGTTTTGTTTTTGTTTGTGGTGGTGTTGCTTTACAGCTCCTCTTCTAAGAGCTCATAATCATCTTGTGATAAACCAGTACCACCAGTTTTTTGCACATCTCAGGTCCCAACTAATGAATGCTTGGCAAAGGTAAATTATTACTAATCCCCATATATATTAACTTCACTATTTGTTGTTTTAATTCTTTAATCCCTATAAAATTATTCTAATGTTATATTCCTGTATCATTTTGTATTAACATAAAAGTTATGTCATTGGCACACTTGTATTAGAAGTATGTAAGTTCACTATGTAATCTGCAAGGTTTTGAACAGAGTTGCATGGACTTCAGGTGCAAAACTGCACTTTGAGAAGTTTACCTTTACTACACATTATTTCAGGCATTTGAAATTTTTACTTTTTCAACAAGACAAAATCCTTACCCTATTAACTCTTCAGAAGAAACTTAATTCCCTTACAGGGTACAGAACTTTTCCTTAAGATAGATGGTTTTAAAAGTTTGTGTACAACAATAAATAACTAATAATTTTTCATTAGTCACTTGCCATTCTGTAGCAGTAATAAAATTATTTTTATTTAATTGTTCATGCAGATCTTCATTCTCCTTCACCAGTTCTTCAACACGCATTTTAAAGTTCTTCATATCCTCCTGGAAGACAAAATCAAAATCTTTAAAGGTAAATATTTGTTTTAATTTTTATTGATATAAAAATACTAAGATATATGCCTGCCTGGTTGCCCTTCTAGTTCTCATGCAACAATGTATTGTCTCACTACTCCTCTTTGATTCAGACAGGCATATTTAACTCCTGAACTGCTTCATTAATGTCGTAGTATTTGGTTAAAAACACTATGGGTATTTGAATTGTGTTATACTTTTGCTAAGTGTCATTTGTAGTGAGCAAGCTACAGATCCCTTAAGTACGGATTCAAGAAATTCAGGAGACTCGAGTATTTATCAAATGATACTCTACACTTTTAGTATGAAATAAGATTTAATAAGAGAGGACAACGAAGAGGATTTGCAGCAACAAAACTGGGTACTTTTATTATTTTATAGCTTATTTTTTCCAAGAAAATCAAGCACTTCAAAAAGATACAGCAGTTCTGCTATAAAGCTCATGTAGTAGCTCATCCAAATTTGGTTATGTGCAGGCATAAATGAGAACAGCAACTTTTGTTCACTGTGTTGAGTCTCATGGAACTGATGACCATTTTCAGAGTTAGTGAAGTAAAAGTATTTGGTTTTAAGTGGTAACTTGCCTCATGTGCAAGACTTAAATCATCCTTTTCTCTCAGCCTATCTTCATATGCCAACAGGAGTGGTGACAGATACTTCATATCCAACTGGGGGGGGGAAAAAAAAAAAACTTCCTATAAATCAATTCCAAACAATAATGTCAATGTTTTAATGACCTTTTCTACTATATATTGCTAATGTTACAAGCTATTAAGGATTTTTAGTTGCTATTAACTTCAAGCGTAGATGAAACTGAAATCACCAGCTCAGGACTTCTTTAAAACACAGACAAGGTAATTCCAGTAGACTCATACAATTCATAATATCATTACTTTCAAAGGGATGCCAGAGTTCTTGGTATGTTCACTTAGTGCAACATAGGTTCAGTCTAAAAAACAAATTTCCTCTCATGGGAAATGCATACTGAAAAAAATCTACATCTAAAAGGAAATTAGCTAATATAACCTGCCATTTTAACTGAGAGTCATTTTTACACATTGCAGATCTATATCATTTGGCCTGGGAAGGAGATGCCTGATATGGAGGGATGATTCATTGCATGGATATCAACTAAAGTTAAGTGAAAAATCCTTCTTTTCACTTAAATTACTTAATTACTACTCATGATATATAAATTTGCTTGTCTGAGTACTCAAATCACCTTACATGCAAAGATACTTAAGCAAATACTCATGCAAAATGATGCTGCAGAAACACTTGAGCACTGTCTCAGGAAAAAGCATTGGTAAGAACAAAGATGGAACTTACAGGGTTCACTAAAAGCAGCTATTATTTATCAGTGTACATAAGAAGAATGTGGTAACTAATGAATGAGGCCAAATTAAAACATGACAGTGAATGTTATTAAGAATAATCAAACATAGACAAGATAACTTGTTGGGTGGGGAAGTAATTTTTACATTTTCAAGAGTCAGAAACTTTAGGTATTTCATGCTACAGGTAGCATATTTCTCAAATTTTATTTGAGAGTTTCTAAAGAAACTTTGAAATGTTTATTATAAGTCATCCTCCTTAATTTATAAGATCAAATATTATCATCTATAAGGTTTATGTAGCTGAGTCTTTTGTTTCCTAGATTTCAACTCAGGTGTCTGTCCAGGTCAGGTCCTAGAGAACTGGGATTCAGGGCCTATAATTATGAGATTCCACATTTTCCCTTTGCTACCTATTTCAGTACTTATTATTACACTGGTCTATCTTTCTTAGCATAAAGCTGTATATTTAAAATTAAGCAAATATGTATGCTAGTCTTGGATATTAAAACTTGTAAGATGGAGCAAAGAGGATATTTCTATTTCTGTATGGTTTTAATCTGACTAACAACAGGGAAGGAAAATTTAAGATCAGGTTAGCATATGAAGGAGAAGTTGTTTCACATGTTGCAAAGACAGTGCATTTCACAGATTATAACAACATGAATAATTGCAGTATAAAACTAGCAATTAAGCAACAGACCTTGAAACAAATTATATGCCAGGTACTATTTAAAGTGAAGGTGGTCTTTATGATTCCCAGTGTTAACTATACTTATTTCACATTAATAAAATTTGCCAACTGTATGCAGTGTGTAACTTACCATACACTCATATTTGACCTACATCCATTCCTTGTAAAGTTTTGCCTTGTATCTTACTGTGGAACAAACATAAATGTTTACTATATTCCATCAGAGTGATATTTCAGAGTAACTAAATAATATCCTGTAGATCTTGGTATATTGGTGCCTGTAGGTAAATCGCTTCTTTGCTTAAAAAAGAATCAATGCATAAATGAAAACTGTATTTTACTTACCAGCCATGGAGGTGGTGGTCCTTTCATAGGTAAACATTTTAGTTTTACATGCTAAAAGAGAATTTTTAAAGAAGTTGAAATTATTTTCTACTTTTGAAGCACCAATCACTGCCCACTGCAAAAGTGGATTACTTGCAGCTTTTACCCCAGTTGAGCTTACGTTTCTAATTACATGTTTATATATGCAACAGACACTCACAAAGTCAACAGCACTAATAGAGGTTTTTGTCTTAATGCAACTTTAAGATAAGTGCACCTTTTAAAGTTGAACATTCTCACCTCTTCTTGGGACAATGGCCTGAATTTTGTTTGATAGCGACTTAGCTCTACATTCAAACGATGGACAGTCATTTTCAAAGCATCGTTCTCATCCACCAGTTCTTGTGCTTGTTCTCTTAAAGAAAGCAATTCTGCAGCCTCCTCTAGTTAAAAAGTATACAGATAGGAAGATATATTTAACAAGAGCCCAATCAAAACTCAGGAAAAACTAATATTTATGTTAATTTTAAGGGGAAAAAAATCTCTCAGGTGGAATCATGGAAAGAGAATCTCTCTCCAAATACTATAATGTAATAAATGCATAAAAAATTGCTAATTAAATTAATAAATTTTGAAACAAGCAAGTAACAAGTAATCAATCTACCTCATCTCATCTATGAAAACTTTTCCTTCATGATTATGTAATTATTTTGATAAGACTTCTACAAATATAGAAAATATTTATTCTTCAAATGTCTGCTAAGAAGAAAACTGCTAATATAGAATAGGTTGTCAGAGCTTCTAAAAATACAACACAACTTTGCAAGAGTTTATCTGGAAAAAAGAATGTTCCTTACCTTCTCTTTGTGTCTCTGAAGCTTCTCTAAGTCTTCTGTTTTCTTTTTCCAGACTTTTTAGCTTTAATAGCAATTCTTCTATTTGTTGTTTTGCTTCCTCAGCTCTTTGGGCTAAAGCCTGACATGCACTGTTTAGAGACCAGTTTTCTTGTTTTAGTTCTCTGAATTTTTCTTTTGTCATAGTTCCCCAAGCTTTTCTTGACCAAACAGATATATCTGTAGATGCCATAGCGCAATGATCTTAGACAGAACTCAGACTTCAATACAGCAATATTTGTCAGCAAATTATAATTCATTTTTCTAATTTTAGCACTTTTCATTAGAGAGACTATATACTTTTTTCTCCAAATTAGACGTAGTGAGTAAATGTATCTTTATATACATACATGCATTCCTTAAAAGTGAAGAATGTACAGTAACATCACAAGAGAAATCTTGAAATACCTGGTGATGGTGGAGGCTTCTCACTTAACAGATGTTCAGCTGATGATTTTTCTTTCTAGCAGACAAAGAATGAGAAAAGTTGCTCTAACAGTTATCCTTTCCAAAATACACTGAATAGCATCACTGTTGGAGAACCTAAAAAATGGAGCTTTTGAAACAATTCAACTCCCCTTTAGGTCCTTTATTTTTTTTTTCTTTTTCCTAAAACCTTTTATTGACCTGAAAGAAGTAAAGGTTTAAAGATTAGAGATTTTAACTCAAGGTATGTGACTGGTCATTTACCTATCTCAATGTTATGTTGTCACTTAGCAGTATCACTAGCCAATTAAAATAAAAGAGGGGCACTTAAAATACTTACAGATTTCCCCAAGGGGAAAAAAAAGTAGTTGTCATAGATGTACAGTTCTCATGACTGATATAAAAGCTATAGCCATACAACTTCATAACCTGACAGGATGGATCTTGTTCCCTGTCTAGTTTGTATAAAATATGACTCTAGCATAGTCAATTATGGCATGAACCATACTTGTCCATAATTAGGAGAGAAGCTGTATCCTAATGAAAATCAGAAAGTGAAAATTACCACTGAGAGCTCTTGTGCTGTAATATGCTGTCTTTAGTTTCTTCACTTAATTTCTTGCTTAAATGAGGAAGCCCCAGAAGATACAACATAATCATTTATATACCCACTATGTCGTGGGATTTTCAAAATGAATAATTTAGCTGTTCTTATACTCTCAAGGAAGAGTTTGTTGCCACAGAGAACTACTTTTCTTGCAAGTGATGGCACAGTAGCTCATTATAAGACCTTTTTTTTTTTTTCCTCAGAATGCATCATAAATTTTCATAGCAGTCTTACCTTTAAATTCAAACCAAGCCGTTCATTTTCTGTTTAAAAAAAAACAGATATTTGAATCAATTAAAAGCTGAAGTACTTGTAGATCCATAATTAAAGGTTACATATGAACATGTGAATTTCTGAACTTTTTGACTTAGAATTTATTTACCTTCTAGTTGCACATTTGACTTGTCCACGGGCACCTTAAATTCAGTTTCATGAGAAGATGCTTCTTTCTCGTCAACTTTAGTACTACGGGGTAGTGGAAACTCTTCCTGTGTAAAATAAGTCATGACATCTAAATAATTACAAGGTTGTTAAATACACCATGCCCAAGTGTCTTGACATCTGCCTGAAAACTTCAGCATCTGACTGGGACATTACGAAATAGTACTGCACTAGTTTAAGATATTCTTTTTGGCTGTAGAGTTTTACGTAAATAAAGACCTAACCCTTACCATAATTAACAGGAGATAAGGAACTAGGCAAGCATTACACACTTTAACCAAAATAAAATTCCTACTGCTTTTAACACACATTTTAAAAGATTAAATTATGTACTTTCTTTACCTTTTTATTTTTGCAAGGAACAGCATAAATGGCATGTGTGCTATCACCTTCTCCCTTCTTCTCAGTACTTGGACAGCTAAACTCTGCCTCTTTATCTGAAAGATAGGTATCCATGTCCTCCTCATCCTCACAGTAATTGCCTGATATTTCCAGGGACTGTACATGAGATTCTTCACTACCATCAAGCTTCCACTTGGGCCTGCAAGTTGAAAGCATTTTAAAGCACGTTTTGTGGTCACTTATTCTTAGAAGAAGGAGAAAAAGAAAAAAAAAAA